ATGTGATAGTAAAACCGTAAGAAAAACTCCGTGGAAAAAGTGCGTGGAATAAAACCGTTAAATGAGACGTGCGCAGGCGCGACAGTCGCATACACAAGCGAGTAGTGTATAATACCTTTCTCTTTCTCCCTCTTTCTTTTCGTTCTCTCATCCATTCTCTTTCTATTTTACGTAATTTATTATTTCCTAAAATACTGAATTTCCTAAATACTTTCCTATACTTAAATAAAAACTAATCAGCAAAATTTAAGAGAAAAATCAAGAAAACCTACATAAAATTGAGCACGATTTTTTTTTGCAAATTGTGTCGATTCTACATTAGCCGAAGGAACTTCGTTCCTACCTGGTGTCCCACGACACCACATCTTTTTTTTCACTCAATCTGCCCTAGCATCGTGTAAACTTCCAGTTTCTCAATTTATCATTGTATCATTAATTTTCGTAGATAATTTAATTAAATTTGATTTTTATTAATCGATTGATTGTGTTATGTAAGCTAAAATAATAATTATTAAACAATGAAATAAACAAAACAACTAGTTAGAAGAAAAGAAAAAACATTTGTCAGAAAAGACCGGGTTGGAGAAGATCGCTCCACTTAAAATTAAGAACATTAGTATTATTATTGTGATACGCCCAATTAATTCTGTTGCCCACTCAAAAATTAATTCACTGAATAGAAATTTCTGAGTGCTCCCCAATTATTTATTGTTTCTGCTTTTGTTATTGTTTGATTCATGAATAATTTAATAGAGATTGAATAACAATTCCAATTCTATAATAAATAAATGATCAGTTTTACTCGTCAAGCATAGCTACTAAAAGGGAACTAGAAGTAAGGCATATTGTAGCCTCACATATTATGTAGGTACCACGGTCCTGCTTATGTTTGGTGCAAATAATGATCGCGCCGCGCCGTGAGGCCGTCGTTATAAAATGCTTTTGAGTCCTCGACCTCATGTCTCAAGACTCCGGTATCCATCGGCCGTCAGCTCTTCGCCTACGTAATGTACGATTTGGGGATTAAAATAGGAATGCGAAGTGTGAAGTGACACATATAGATGTCTGTAAGTGATGCAAAGAGCCACAAAATATGTGGGTGTAAACAAGATTTATTTTCTGAACTTTCGTGTGAATAATGGTATAAAAAAAAATCCATATGCCAATAACATGTGTGAAGTTAACAAACAACACGTCATACGTTAGTAGTTATAATGAAGTAAATGTCACAAATGTTTTCTTTTTGCGAGAGCTCTCGATTGAACTACACAAGTTTTTCGTGACGTGTTAAAGAATCAAATCGGCAAGGGACACAGAACTTGTACGTGTTGTGGATTTTTTTTGTTTTCAGTGAACATTTTATTACTACGTGACGTATGTATCTTAAATTTTATCGAATTTTATTTTTGACAGTGCGAAGGCTTACGAATATTTCCTGGCATATATCTAAACCTCAAATACATTGCTGAGCTCACAAGCCATGATGATTTAAAGCGATTATTAAGCCCATATAAATCACAACGTATTTTTTGGGTCAGATGGAAATCTCAGGAGTTCCACTTTGAGAGGGGTACTTGGGGAATATCGGAGTTGAACCGCCTGTAAGGCTGGGTGAAATCTGACACGTTTTGCGCGGAGCGCATATTTTGTCGGCCTGCCTTTTCAACGGCAATGTCGTCCACCTTGAGACACGGTAGAAATATCAAATGTGTTGTATAACAGTTGTCTTAACCACCATCCTGTCTATTTCTGCCGTAAAGCAGTAGTGCCGCTTAAAGTATGGGGCAGCCATTGAACTGAAAAAGTGAGACTTAGAACTCTTGTCTCAAGGTGGATGACGGCTTTTACGTTATTGATGTCTATGGGCTCAGACGATCATCCACTCATCTTAGCAATAAAAAAGATTAATATTATTATTTTTTTATAAAATCAGCCCAGAGACCTTCACCACACAAGACCGGTCCTACGCTGCTTGCACCCAACGAACCCCGCAAACCTCAATAGGTCGTCGGTCCATCTTGTGGGAGACCTATCCACGCTACATCTTCCGGTACGCGGTCACCACTAAAGAAACTAACTAAACCAAACTAAATGAACTAAAGATCTTTTCGGCCCCAACGGCCATCCGTTTTTGCATTGTGCCCTGGACACTGCCACTTCAACGTCGCAAACATTTGGGCTATAACGGTTACCATGGTTTTCCTGCGAATCTCCTGATTTGATCTCAGATTTGGTCTGGTAGGGGATCTCCGAGCTAAGCCCTCTCTATTGCTCTTTAAGTTACCTTGAGTCTTCTAATAAGTCCCATTGTGAGAGACCACGTCTCAGTGCCATATGTACACACAGTATTAACTAATTGAATTTATATTTGCATTAACACAATTTTTCAGCAATATGACATCGCATTTATACGTTAAAGTCAGCCTGATTTGCTAACGAGCTAATGCAGATAAAAAATCACCCTTTATATGAAATTCGCGGCAACAATTGTGTGTATTTTTTGCGAAATACAAAAAAGCAAAAAACGCACGCTCTATGAATAATAATGGTGACATTTCACGTTTAATGTGACAAATCTGGTGCACACGTGTTTTTTCATTTGCATGTGTAATCTACTTTAACCATAAAACTAAGATCTACATGAATCATGAACGTTCATAAACTTCAAGGATCTTCATAATTTTGTTTTTGCAAATGTATGTCGTCCAAATTATTTAGATCTCTACGAAATATCACGCATCGTTTGTTTCACGGTTCATTTCGTGATACGAGCGATGCTTTCAGTTTTAACAATCCACACAATGTTCGCACGAATTTCGGATGTACTATCCGAATTGGCTTACATAACTGATCCTATTTGTAATCCGTACATTTGCTTGAGGCATTTCTTCTCGCTAAAAGGGCGTAAATGAGATTCACAAATCACTCCGAAAAACTGGGACATTTTTCAAACACGTCGTGTATTATTTCAATATAATGTGGATCTGTCACAGCCGAATCACACATGTCATAATAAAACATATTTTTACTAAACTAAGTGAAGTTTATCAATGCCACATATATCGTCTTCTCGCATTAAAACTGTATAATCTCAAAACTTACTAATTTTACAGGAGAGTGTTTTAAAAGTTTAACATATACTATTTTTAATATAAATCATATTTGCAACATTTATTTTTTATTTTAATCCAGTTAAATTATCTATCTTTTAAAGTAAGATAAAATGATGTATTAATTTTGTTAATAGTAGTCAAAACATAGGTAAACTAAAAAAACGCTACTACCCTCTTTTGAAAGTATTTATAAAAAAAATACTGGTGATACCAAATATTTATGCATATTAACTCAATTTCGAATATTTTTGAAGATTGTACACTTTTAATGCGAAAAGGCGATATATCTCTATACATATACTTCATGCATAATAAATAATAATAAAATAATTTATTGCCTTTCAGACAGATTTAGATTATTACAGGTAGATAAAACAAGTAAAGAAATAAAACCGCAAAAGAAAGTAGGTGGCTTAATTAATGCTGCTCAAAGTATTAAATGCATCAAAAACTGGTCTGATTTTCAGTCACCCCCGTTCCCCTTCGGTTTATTGCGGAATTTAGGGCAAGGTACGTGTGCACAGACTTAAAACGTGATATAAACTACAATAAAACACATACTTCATACATAAATGTGTAAAGAAAAACCTTTCTTATGTAATTTTTATATAAATTCCTTTTAGTTTTTTTTTAAAAAAGGATTTTTCTTTGAGAAAAAAAAAATTGTTCAGTTTTATTTAATTCAAGAATACTGTGTAAAATAATCTGTAGAAAATAAAGGCTTTAAATTTTTTTTCTTAAATATTGTACAGAAAACGTAAATAAGTCTTCATATCATTATATTTATTATGTTTGTGATTTTATCAATATGGATATATATGTACGCAATGATTTGCATTTTACATTATTTAACACACATCTTGTGTTTTTACTGGCGGTAGGACCTCTTGTGAGTCCGCGCGGGTAGGTACCACCACCCCGCCTATTTCTGCCATGAAGCAGTAATGCGTTTCGGTTTGAAGGGTGGGGCAGCCATTGTAATTATACTGAGATCTTAGAACTTATATCTCAAGGTGGGTGGCGCATTTACGTTGTAGATGTCCATGGGCTCCAGTAACCACTTAACACCAGGTGGGCTGTGAGCTCGTCCACACACCTAAGCAATAAAAAAAGTGTGGTTTTTATCATTGCGCCTTTTTTAATTCGATAATTTTCGACGTTTTTAAATATATATCTAACGTTGGCGGCTTTCTCATCGTGAAAATGAAACCCCAAATCAATTAAAGTGATAGATTTCAGTATATTGTTGTTTCGTTTTTTTTTTATTGCTTAAGTGGGTGGACGAGCTCAGATCCCACCTAGTGTTAGGTGGTTACTGGAGCCCATAGACATCCACAACGTAAATGCGCCACCCACCTTGAGATATAAGATCTAAGGTCTCAAGTATAGTTACAACGGCTGCCCCGCCCTTCAAACCGAAACGCATTACTGCTTCACGGCAGAAATAGGCAAGGTGGTGGTACCCACTTCGCGCGGACTCACAAGAGGTCCTACCACCAGTAAAAAGTTTTCAAAGTTTTTTTTTTTTTATATCAGACTTTAGTTGGCGTTATATTCTAATGTCGACGAACAACAAACACCCTAGCCACAAAACCTGTAAAGTATCCGAAATGAAACGTGTTGTCTCAAACATGAGATTAATATGTGCAAAGGGATTTTAATTATATCTCCGTCTCACCAAAACCACCGAGGTAAATATAATGAATTGTTCTCACAATTCTATAATAAATACATGACTCGTAAATAGCATTTTCAGTTTTAATTACGTTGAAAAATGGTTTGCAAGAATGTGATGTTAAATACAGCTTAAAAAACCCAAACGGATTACTGTGATATAAAGTTTAACTAGAACGTGCAGCACATTGTAACAATGAATAATGCCCTTACCTGTAGCGCATTCCGCCAGACATATCACCAGCAACACAACTAGGATCCTTATCGTGGCTCTGTGGCCGGACCGTTTGTATGTCTTCTCCATTGCGAATGACATCAATGTTTGTAATCCTGAGTAATGAGAAAGCAGAAATTTTAAACATAATATTTCGAATTTAAAACCCGGATGTTTTTGCAAATAATTCAAGCGTCGGTTGAAAACGTGGGCAGACATACTAACAATACTATTGAAATATGACCGGCTCTGGCATAATTCTCAAACTCTTTCAAATTTCATAGTTTTTTTAATATAAAACATTTTAATAATCGATTTTATTATTTTTGTGATATATCGATGTTTTTATTTTAAATCGAATGAAATCTGATCTAGCTCAGCCGTGACTAATTACTAATAGTATAAATAATATGCAGTAGTGACAGTTTTTAGTTGTCTGGAGTACTGACATCAAATGTACCGAATTTTGTCATAATCGAATTACTTAGGATCGCATAGAGAAAAAATATAGGTCCAAGCATTTTTTTTTCATAGAAATGATGACGTTTAAAACTCTTTAAACCATACATTAAATTTAAAACGTTAATTTTTAAGCCTATCAAACTTCAGGAAAGATTTTCATCATTGAATCACCGACGCGTGACAGGTAGCGAATACTTCTTCTATTCGTAATAAGTCTACGTTTTTCATACATTTAGCGAAATTCATATCAGAGCATGACCCGGCTCTGTTACTATTTTAATTAAAAAAAAAAACTTTTATTATATATCAAACACTTAACTTCTACTTAAGGTAAAATTTAGCATTAGAAATCTTTAATTACTTAACAAAGTTTGAATTTATTTACGAAACTTGAATTTAACTGTAACAAGCAAACTACCGGGTGATTTAATTCAGTACGCTAAGTTACTTTGTTCTTAAATAATATTGTTGGAAAACTTTAAGTGAAGATAAGATTGAGATAACAGTTCATTTAACTAGGTTTTTAATTATTTTATTTATAACCAACAGAATTATAAAGTGTTGTTTTTTGAAGGGGTTTGAAGGGTTTGAGGGGGGTTGACACAGTGAGTACCACAGATTTTCCCCAAAATTTTTTTAATTGCTTCGTTTCATTCATGCATGACCCATCCGGTGTTAAGTGGCTACCGGAGCCCATAGACTTCAACAACGTAAATATCGAGACTCAGCTTGAAACGTGAGTGGATATTTTCAGGTTTATAGTGCGGGGAGATAGGTTCACGGGATTTAATAAAATTTACGCCTTAGTTGCACAACGCTATATTTCAGACTGACTTACTACTTACACACTACACCACCGAGGTTAAGCAAAAAATTTAGTATAACATTTTTTTTATATAATATATATAAATCACACACTATAGTTTTATTATATACTAGATGTAACCGTCCGCTTCGCTGGCCATTTAAAATTAACATTATTATTTCTCACCCCCACAAAGATTCTCATCATTAACGCCCCCGCAACTGATGCAGGGAGTCCAACACTCATATAAATATTAGCCTATCCATTAAATACATGTATTTTCTACACGGATACCAAGTTTCAAGTCAATCGGATGCATGGTTCAGTAGTTATAACGAAACATCCGTAAAAACTACTGTAGATTTATATATTAGTATAGATTAGGTATATATAAGGTTTCGTTCGATTTTTATGATGGATAATATCACAAATTTCCATTGATATAAATTTTTACATTAGCTCCTATCCATCCATCCAAAACACCGAATCACATTACGGCTTCACGGCAGAAACAGGCCGGTGCAGGGTGGTGGTACTTCCTCGTCCGCGGTAACAAGAGGACATACCACCAGTTTATTTACGTTAACGTACCGTGGAGAGTGATTTGAGGACTGCCAACATGACCTGAAGTGATGTAAAGGAGCAAGCGTAAGACAGGGTCAAGTAGAGACAACTTATGAGGACCCTATGTACCACCGGGGTACCCTAGGACTACAACAACAACAACAACTCATTAATAATAATTTATCGATCAACTTGTAAAAATCCGACCGTAACACAGTCGATCTGTGGAAACAAGTGAAAATATAACTAAGCCCCTTTGTTTTAATAAATATAACTAAATTCAATTACCCAGTTTTGAAACGTAAAGTCTAAGTCTCTTGCGGGAGCAAAGAAATGAATTATTCAATGGGACAAAATTAATATTTCAAGTCGTAAACGGCAACTGTGTATTAAGTCTGTCATAGAGACTATATCTGAGGAAAAATAAATAAGAGATATAATCAGGCTACTTAGTTGGAACAAGTCATAAGCATTTACTTGTGAAATAAGATTACTATAAATACAAATGTCTTCAAATATTTTTCAGGCTCAGTGATCAAAGCAAGGAAAATAGAATGTAATTAAGAATGTTCGGGTAGCTGATTTCTTTTATAGCCTTTTTAGGCAGACGGTAGACTCATAAGAGACAGACCCACAAGAGGTCCTACTGGTGGTAGGACCTCTTTTGAGTCGATGAGTTATTTCTGCCGTGAAGCAGTAATGCGTTTCGGTTTGAAGGGTGGGGCAGCCGTTGTAACTATACTTGAGACCTTAGAGCTTATATCTCAAGGTGGGTGACGTATTTACGTTGTGGATGTCTATGGGCTCCAGTAACCACTTAACACCAGGTGGGCTGTGAGCTCGTCCACCCATCTAAGCAATAAAAAAAAAAGACAAACTTACGGCCCTGATGGTGAGTGGTTACCGTCGTCCATGGACATCGGCAATGCCAGGGACAGAGCCAAGCCGCTGCCTACTGTATTTTGTTTTATTACATTTACATGCAATGCAGTGAATATTAACAAGACCATAGGTCACTTTGTAGAAGATTTATTTAGCATTTATTAAGTTTAATTTTTGGACTATTAACATTAAATTTTGTCACTTTTGTCCTATGTAATCAGTAAGTTCAGATTTGAAGCTGCTTTATCTGGATGATCTGATGCCTTTGAAATTAGAATCCTCTGTACACACGACTAAAGTACATGTACTCTCAAAACGCGACACTGAATTAGAACAGAAAGATCTCTAGTATATTACTCAGTCACCACTCGATTATATGGACAATGATGTTATCAATTTGGAAGGTCGTTTTTATGAACCCGCAATGTGATGCGAAGGCGGCTAGTGAACAGTAATGTACATTAAACTGACGCCAAGTTTTACGAATGTGTGATATTTAATGTCATACTGTCTCGAAAATTTAGTTCTAGAAGCTATTTTTGTCGTTTCTGAGAACGTTTATTTTAAGCCAAGTACGAAAATTCTAAATTTACTTACTAAATATTATAATATGAATTATTGATTAAAATCTATTGAATTTTACTTCTAAATTAATAAACCTAAACACCTAGTATTTAAAGTAGTTAAACTTTGTCTTGTACACTACATCATTTGAACTACAGCTTACTGGTGGTAGGACCTCTTGTGAGTCCGCGTGGGTAGGTACCACCACCCTGCCTATTTCTGCCGTGAAGCAGTAATGAGTTTCGGTTTGAAGGATGGGGCAGCCGTTGTAACTATACTTGAGACCTTAGAACTTATATCTCAAGGAGGGTGGCGCGTTTACGTTGTAGATGTCTATGGGCTCCAGTAACCACTTAACAGCAGGTTGTGAGCTCACCCACCCATCTAAGTAATAAAAAAAAAAAACATATTTGAATAGTTCCGACTATATGCAACTGAGTGCGCGATATTATGAAAGATGAAGAGTGACCAATTAAAAAAGATCAATAATAAATTACAGCTCCCGAAGCGAAGCGAGGGCGGGTCGCTAGTCTACAATTCTAATTAATTTTTTGTAGCGCAAAAATCCATAGACCTATTCAAATATTAGGTGTCATATTAGATATTAAATGAAAAATTAATTCTTGGTCGTCTACATTTAATCGATCCACGATCGCCGTCAACCAATCGAATTATCGGGACGATAATCGAGGAAGACCACTTCAAAACATCAAGAACAGCTAACATGGTTATTATATTATAGTATCAAAATTATTTACTAAGTCTATCTTAAGTGTATATATATATATATATACTTTTTATTGCTTAGATAGGTGGACGAGCTCACAGCCCACCTGACGTTAAGTGGTTACTGGAGCCCATAGACATCTACAACGTAAATGCGCCACCCACCTTGAGATATTAGTTCTAAGATCTCAAGTATAGTTACAACGGCTGCCCAAAACCGAAACGCATTACTGCTTCACGGCAGAAATAGGCAGAATGGTGGTATCTACCCGTGCGGACTCACAAGAGGTCCTACCACCAGTAAAGTTATAACCACTAGTCTCAAGTGTATAATGGATTTATCGCTTCAGCGTTAGTCTTAGGTCGTTGAAAAGAGCGTCTATCTTCACAATGCATTTGCATGTCTTAAGCCACGGAGACAACTATTATCCCTTGTTGATGTAGACATCTTTTTTTCTTGCGTAGGCGTGTACAGTTGTTTCACCGTTCAGTGCTATGCTATTTAATTCTTTATTCCATGTCGTTTATGTCAGATATTCCATTTACTTTCCTGGTTTACCTACGACCTAATGGGTTAAAAGGTTGACAGTATAAAAGTGTTTCTTACGAGTCAACAGCTATTTTTAATTACTACGAGTGAAATACATAGTAATTTGTTTTTTAAATATTTATTATTTTTCATTTGAGGATTAGTAAATTGGGCTGGAGTATGTCCTTGCAAAATCCTTGTATTTAAACTACTGTCAAAAAAAACATAACAAGCGCTACTCTACAGAGGTATTTTGATGCTCTGCTGTTTATTCAACTACAAAAACCTGATTTGAAGAAGTTATTTATAGCCAAAGCAATTACGAATGTAAGTAAATGATGGGATACATATTTTATAAGTCGCGTCTTACGAAACTCACTTAACAACTGAGCCGAAATGATTTTAATTAAAATTCTCATTTTGGATTTACGTATCATTACCGAGATCACAAGATGACGAATCACACAATTATATTTGTGTGTCGTGCATGTGATGTACTAGATGAACGATGTGTAGTTCATACTTAGAACATTAAAATTATTTTTACAACAGAAAATCTATTGTGTATATTACTAAAACTTTTAA